CCTTTAACTATGTAGCTATGTACGTATGTCATTTAATCGCACACATACATAACTGCAGTTTTTTTTCATTTATGTTAATCTTTTGACTTGCATTGACCTTTGTATCGTCCCGTTGTAGCATTATATTCATCTTACTTTCTCTGAAATATATGTATGTACATAGATATGTATGTATGTACGTTCTTATTCTATCACCTGGCATATCTTTACGAAGTATATGTATATGCAATTTTGTCTGTGCTTGCATGTCTGTACACATGTGTGTTCCTGAGTGAGCAGGTATTCATGTTGCTTCATGTTGTATGTACTAGTTTATCATATTACCTGAGGCAACTCACATAAATACATACATACATACATAAAAAAGAAAGGCATCAAAATAGACGAACATAAAATGTGAAAGGTTTTATGAGTTTATTCAGCAGCAGTTTAAACGCAACCACCCACGTCACATTTTACCCGATAAACCTCCGAAATGATTGGCTCCGAGCAGAATCCGGAGGAAAGATGAGTTTGCACTTGAAAATTTCATTAAAAATTCAATGGCTGCTGCTGTGGCTGCATTGCCGCCATGTCTTCGTTGGTTGTGGGTAAAACAGATTTATTTTTTATTTTTATGTAAACCATGTTTGCAGCGTTCAATGGCGAAACACTTTCGAACTGAATTTACGCACAAGGACCGCCTGCAAGGCCAACTTTTGTGTTGGAACATCTCTGCTTTTTCGATATGTTTTGGTTTAGTCCGATTCGATTTTCAATAAGTTCGTGAGGCAACAATGAGCGAGAAGTGCCCTCTCACATAAACTACTACAAACATGCACACTTACATACACGCAATCCATATGTATTTGCAGCACCCGCTGTGCTTCAGCTGTCATTCCGTTTAATTTAAAAGTTTCAGTAGGTGGTCGGCGGTAGATGCGCAAGGAGGAGGCAGCATTGTGTGGAAGATGCTGCAAGAAATTGTATACATATGTGGCAGGCGCATCCTTGACCTCATTTCTCTTTTCAATCAATCGCTCGTTGTTGCTTTAGTGCCAAGTTATAAGAATCTATATAATAAATTTATATATACATGCATACATACATACATATAAATATTTACACATTGGCGTGTACGGTTGGTGGGGGTGCATATGTGCTATTTATTAATATTACAGAGCAGCGCAATGATGTAGTGACACATTGAAGTGGTCAGCTCGAAGGTGATTTCAAGAATCGTGGAGTAAAATCTCACAGAAGCACATTTCGGGACAGGAAATGTGTTTGTGCATTTGTAAATTGTTTGTGCAGCTGCTGGTAAATTAATAATATGTAGAAGATACGGGGGATATCTTTTATTTTCTGCATTATATATTTATACTGGGTTTTAATCAGGTTAGATAGGATCTAATATAAACCACTTGCTGGTCCATACTATTGATATAAATCGGTATACATTTCCTTGCGAGCTTTAACCAATTTGTAGTTCTTTAGTTTACAATAACCTCCAGTAAGGAAAAAAATCGGAATTTTACCAAAATCCGAACATAAGCTTCTCGTGAAACCTTAAGATTTAGGAAGAACTGGTTCAGGCACAGATTCAATCACTTTTGTTGGAGCATAGGTTTCGGCCTGAAAAATTCTTCAGTAGCCTGAAAGTTTGTACGGTTGTGGTAGCTCGAGCTCTGGAATGCATAACGCAGCACCCGATGCGTAGTTCATTTCGGATCAATCTGTGTAGAAACTGCAGGTGTAGTGACCAAGGCGGTACTGTGTTAACTTTGCAGTCACGGAATTTGCACCGAATTTCCCACAATTTTCCTTGCAACTGATTTATTTGTATGCGCGTTTATAATCACGCGTAGTGACGCAAACTTCTCCAATTGCCCGCGAACCTGCTGGCTTTCTGGAGAAAGAAATATGAGCCCTACGAATGCTGTTCAGGCCTAATGTGTAAGCAAATGCGATACACCCAATGCCTTATGGACCATTTTCCCCGACACTTCCCATTCAGCCATCGCTGTGTGGCAATTAAAAAGATTTACGATCTGTCGATGAATGACAGAATTAGGTTCAATAGAACCAGGACTTTCAGGCAGATCAACCATTGCAAATGTATTTTCCGATATGTAGAGCCTTTTCTTTCTGTAGTACCACACTATGAAAAGTCGGAGCTTTAGCAAGAATATTCTGTCCCGGCAACATTCTTGGCAGCCAGCATATCAGGTTTCCTCTATCCGCGCCAATGTGAAAGCCACAAAAAACTTAGACGCAGGAAGAGAAATTGTGGTAAGCATCATTTTGTCACCGTCTGCTTTCAACAGGATTTATGCAGCGTAGTCTTTGCCACTTGCCTAACATAAACCGCCCGTTTTTACCACTCCAGCAAACAAGCAGCACCCCAAATGCCGCACCGATGATGCAACAGCATCACTGGCGCATGTTGTACGCTATATTTTCGATTTTGTTGCAACATATGTAAGCTAACTATATTCTCAATCAGGTAAGGGTCGACTTTCCCTGCTACCCCTACTCATCCATCGAAATGTTTGGCTGTCAGCCATTCTGTCTGTCCAAATAGCTTCTTTGTAAGCTGTAGTCACAAACTCGGCACAGAACTCTTGCAAATTGTGCGCCATATGTTCGCAGCGGCCACTTGACGTTCTCCTCATATGTCCTTATGTCCTTATGTCCTTATGTCCGTCAGTCCGTTCGCATGCCTGTCTATTCGCCTGTAGGGCAAATTCACGTGGCGGAGTAGCTCAATCATTGATTCACAAAGTAAATGCGCAGGAGGCAAGAAGACAAGCAACTTGAGTGTAGGAAGTAGAATGAATTCAACGCGACTGTGCTGAAGCCCTGCGGGACATGGAATGCAACATGGAAATGAAAAGCGATGAGCATGCAAGTGATTGGATGGCATGGCGTATACGTAACATAACGGATTTACATTGAAGCGGGTTAACGTACTTTCGAAACGAGAAAGAGCAAGCTGGCAGCGAGAAGTATGCATTTATAACGATTCTCGCATATGAAAACACACACACACATACACGCAGCCATAAGCATGTACAAAGATGGTCACACGAGCAACTCTGTAACGAAAGCCGCTTGCATGAGTGGATATTATTTTCCACTCACACAAAGTAGTGAATAGTTGCCAGGCGGATAAATGAAAGTAAATGAAAAATGCCACCCGACAGGATAAAGCTTAATAAGTAGCATATTTGCATCGCACATCTTCACACCCACAAAAAACAGAGTAAAAATCGGGCACATGGGATGTATGTATGTACGTATGTATGTAAGGTGCTCATAACAGCTCATATGTAGCGATACTTATAACGACGTAAGCGGTTGAGTAACCCTGAAGTGTGCTTACATATGTACGTGCGTATGTGTAAATATGTGGCACGACACTTGGTAATGCCAACTCATTTAGAGTAGGGTAGCGAGCTTTTGGTCTTTTACATTCCCCGTCCGCCATTGAACATTGTGGATAAGCAGATTGCTTATGTGTGTATGTGGATATACATACGTATTTGCATAATGTGTCGCCAAAAGATTTAGCTGTGCAAAATTGCTATTGATCACCGCGTGAAAAAAAAAACAAAACGAATTATGTTAGAGCGGGATATGTTTTTGCATTCAAGGTGTTGTTGAGTCAAATAAAACTAAAACAACGTAAATGGAGATTCGCCCAGTCTAAAAAAGAGGCATCAGAGGTGGATTTGTTAGATATACGTACAGTGGGCTGTCGACGCATGCAGACAAAGGTGATGCGTGCACGAGCTGCCAGCGATACTTTGCAACACTCATACGCCATGGCGTCGTCATCGGCGGATTCAATCAATTTCACTTTATTCAGCATTCAGGGGCATCCTATCAACATCCCCCATTATCGAATTTCGATCTCGAGATCATTTATCATTTAAATGCGCATACATACATATGTATATACATGTGTATGTATACTAGCAAATGTATCTGCATAAACACGTCACATATCACAATTATCAATAATCAGTTCCAAACTTTTTTTTGTTAAAAAAGCCATTAAGTTTCACATTGTCAAGGACAAATTTGGTTTGTAATTTAAGGGACTAATGAGGGTTAAAAAAAGAATATAATAAAGTTTTTAATGCAAAAAATTATTTATTTAAATCTATCTCACACCCTAAGGGGAAACCTCTTTAATTGCGCACATTTCGTTTTCTTAATTGCTTTTCCCCGATAAATAGTTTATTAACTGCAAAAAATTATAAAAAATATATAATTTTCTGTGAGTTAAAAATATCGGAATTTTTCGAGATTGTCGAATATCCTGATGAAATAAAAAAATAGGTGGGAGGTTCCATGGGAAACTGAACCTCAGAGCACAAAATTTTTTCTTTATAAAACTAACAAATGTGTGGATAAGACATGTGTACAAATGTTGAATCAATCAAAAAATAACAAAATTTTATTGTACATTGTATTATTTTTTAAAATCAAGTTATAAGTAAATTTTTTCAGTAGGTTTAAATTTGGTTGTGTTGAAACTAATTTGCGATTCATAATTGAAGTGCTTGGTAAGAAAAATATATAGTAGAACTCATCTGTGTCTAATGAAATTATATTATATATATTAAATTGTGTGAGTGCTTTGTATATATTATGAGTTACTATTAAGCAATGTGTTTTCCCACCCGTGACAAAAAAAGTTAAAAGTTGTTATATTTAATTACAGTTGTTGAAGTTGAGTTTGGGGTTTGTTTTTTCTTACCTTATATTTTTCCGAAATATTTTGGTGAAAGTCTTGAAAATTTTTTTTGTAATTCCGGCGGAAAAACTGCAACTTTTTTTTGGTGATGCGGTCTAATGTATGTACATACATAAGTATGTAGATATTAATAGATGGGCATTTATTTTCAACGATACTGTCCGAACTTTTTGGCTTCCTAATTTTGAAACCCGATTTCTGAATATCCTGTATTCCCAATTAATCGTTTGTATTCGTTTATTTTCGTTCTTTGCAGCCGTATGCAGTTTGGACTGTGGGCCGAACGGTGTTTGTGAGTCGAGCAAATGCCGCTGTAATCCCGGCTGGACTGGTAATCTCTGCGATCAGCTGCCCTGCGACGCCAGATGTTCGGAGCATGGACAGTGTAAAAACGGAACCTGCGTGTGCTCGCAAGGCTGGAATGGACGGCATTGTACGCTGCGTAAGTACGAGTGTCTACTAACGCCATTTAATTCTGATGCTATTTGTATGTATGTATGTATGTATGTGTGTGTACGCGATTTTGAGTGTGCGTGTGGAGTTTTTTTGCGGCGGGCGAGTTCGTTTCATTTGGTCAGCACTGGCGAGCAAAACTAAAAAGTGCTGATGGTTGTCGTTGCGGTTTGCCATTTCCGCTGTTTAAATTGAAAAGCAACAACGAGTAAAACCCAGCGTTTCAAACAAGGTGTTGGGCGCACAATGTCGGCCGCGTTAATTAACGCCAATTAAACCAAATTTAGCAAAATAAAACGCACTGCTAGCAGCGGCCCCGCACGGTGGCATACCCGTGGAAGCACAGACACATTTGCACAGACACAGATACACACCCACTCACACTAATGAGAGCTTATAAATGGGCAAGGAAGTAGAAAATATTTCCGTTCTATTAATTTTGCATTTTCATTCGAAGGTGTGGCTGTGGATATGCGAATGTTTTATCTAATGTGTATGCGCGTGCGTGTGCGTGAATTCCAATTAAGGTGTGAATGTTTTGTGGTCAAATGAAATAACAAAAGATACTTAATCGTTATCGATGGACCGTACCACAATGCCGTTCACAAAAGCATTTGAGGTCCATTTGGTCGCTTTAAGTGGCAGAGCTTTTGAAATTTGTTCATTCCAGAAATTCAAAAACCAAGCAACTGCTCCTCGCACTTGAATATTCGTTAAACTCAAGCTCTTTAAATTAAAATAAACAAGAAAAGCCTAAGTAAAAAACATTTTCCCCCAATTTGTTCAGATTGGTACATTTACAGATTGGTGTTGGTTGGAAAGTTGTTATTGAGCTGAACTCATTATTTCTAGACAGCAGTGTGACTGCCTAAATGTACAAGTCTGTAAAAATATACAAATCGTCCGATCCCTGCTTAAGTACATAGTCATACTTAGAACAAAATCGCTCTACGCTGCTAAAATAATCCTTTTCTTGGCAAAGTATCAAGCCGCTGAAGGAACTCAATTTCCATCTTTTTGGCTTTCTTAACCGCGAACACATAATCGATTTTTGAAGTTTGTCATTATTGGAAATATTCGTCGACGGCCATATTTATGTATGTCTTCTTATGTAGGTATGTATGTACATACACTGCCGGAACAAAGTATTGGCACAGCAAATTTTTCACAATATATGCAACAATTTTGATTCTAATATTTTTCCGCCAATTTTGTATAAAAATGTGGTTCATTCAACAACAAGAAACATAAAAATAAAATTCCTAAACCTTGTCCAAAACTCAGCAAATTTTCATCAAAATTTTCAACTTTTTAATCAGATTTTTTAGAATTTTTTGAGCGTGCAGTTTGGCAGCCCATTAAACTCTAGCAAAAAATGCAAGTTCGGAGTTAGTCAAAAATAGCGTTAATTTTTGAGATTTTTTTTTGTTGAAGGTGTTTCATGGAAGAGACCCCAAAAATCAATGGTAATTCCTAGCTACTTAAAGCTTCCACTTTATTATAACAAAATTGATTGGGCTACCAATCTGCATACTCAAAAAAATTCTAAAAAATCTGATTAAAAATTTTAACATTTTCATGAAATTTTGCTGAATTTTCGCAAGTTTTGCACAAAGTTTAGGAATTAAATTTTTATGTTTTTTGTTGTAGAATGAATATTTTTATACGAAATCAACGGAAAAATATTAGAATGAAAATTGTTGCACATATTCTGGAAAATTTGCTGTGCGCATACTTTGTTCCGGCAGTGTATTTGTTTTCATACATATCCAATAAAAGTCTACTCCTCCATTCGTGACTGTGGCTGCGGTATACTTTCAGCGAAACGTACGCGGCGGCTCAGCCACCGATACAGCCATGTCAGGACATCATAGGCGACAACGACGGCGATGTATAGAACGCAGAGCAGGAGAAATGCAAAGACGCAGCACATCAACATATCGATGACGTGTGTAGCGGCAGCAAAGCTTCAATCATCACCAACAGATGCGGCTGATGACACCAAGTGGCTGAAAATTGTTCAGAAACCGCTGAGTTTGCAAAGCACTTAAAATTGATCCGGAAATTTTAAAGTCGACGAAATTTCGATTTTCCCGTACTTCTGTTTTCGTTTTTATTTTCTTTCAAAAATTGGTTACCAATTGAAAATGATTTCATGACGAGCTTGGAAAATTATTTAGAGGTGTTTTTATTTAGATTTTTACTGATGTAGAAGAGGTTTCTTTCTACATAGTTACCTAGTTACAAAATACAGCCTACCCAGAAAGGCTGACGAAAGAAGTGGTATCTCTTCTTCGTCGAAAGCAGCCATAAGAGTTTCAGAATTTTTTTATAAATCCATCAATATATTGTGCAATAAATGCTAGAAGTACTTTGTCGTCCTTAATTAGTGCGAAAATTGGAAATTTAGCCTTGTCGCCAAATATAACTTTTAGTCCTCTTTTGTCGACTCTTTCTTATCTTTTACTTGATTGTACTCAGATGCTAGGAGTTTATTTGCTCCGCGTTGTGCTTGGAAGGAAAGCATAGACATGCCTACGCTAACTTGTATTTTTCCAAAAGTTTCGGAGCTGAACATCTTTGATGACATTCAAGCAAGCAGCAAACGCTTTTCTTGATCTTCTGTATAATAAAAACGAAAGTCTGGCGAGTTATATTTTCTTGAAAGACTTCCACGATAGTTGACTTAAAGTCCTTTTCCCGCTTTAAAATGATAAAAAGTTCTAAAAACAGTGCAGCTGGTATGTGAGGTACTGTCGAAATTTGATTTAGTTAACTTCAAGAAAAAGTTCATCATCGACACTAGTAAATTAGTCTTTCTATTCTCTTTTACATACTGACCGTATTTTCATCTTCTCTTCTCACAAACATTTTTACTTGGAAGCTTGAGTTACTTCTTTCCTCCTACGGTAGTATACTTAAATATTTCAGAAAGGGTTTTGGCTTAAATACATTTTGTAGCTCTGTTTGTGGGTATTAGCGATCCCAACATATTTCCCGTATTGTCTTAAGCCTTCTCGAAAGTTGTTTATCCTCCAAAAGTTGCTTCTATTGTTTACATGCATTTTTTATCACCCCTTCTTCTCTATCTCTTCCACGGTTGGCTTTCATTTTTTCATGTACCGTTATGTTTATTTCCTTTTTTCGTAAATGTCACCTTGTCTATAGCTCGCACTTCATTCGTTTCCATTCGGTTGGCATCACTTCCTTCGGCACTGCCTTCGTCAGCTATTTTATTTTATAAACTTGAATGAAACCATTTAGGTGGAAGACGCTGGGAGTCGAGTCACTTTGCCGTTTGATGGAATCGCAGTCTATTTGTGTGTCTGCAAACTTCAAATTTGATTGGGCTTTCTAACGCCGGTGCGGCAGGGGGAGGTATTTTAGTGAAATATTTTATTGCATGCCCATCGAACGAGGTGGGTATGAAGAAGAATGCAGAAACGAAAGGAACGAACTGTAATTGACAGTTAAGTGAAGTTCTTTGACGGAGACGACAACTTTCTACTATTCCATCGAAATTGGCTTTTAAACTTGCATATGAAAGAGATTTTGACTGAAGCAATCACAGCTGCGGTGCAAGAAAGTTATTTTGCTTGCGAATCTTAAATGAGCTACTTTGTTGTCAAGAGAAAAATAAAAATAAAAAAAATAAATATTTGAGCGGTTAAAATGAATGGACAGCAAAGTATATCCGATATTCCAAATAGCAATTTACAATTTTACGTTTTTTATTTCTATGTACTTACATGGTAGGTATATATGTATATAATATGCCTATCTTGAGTAGTGTATTTATTTATACTTAAAATTTCTTCAATTCAATTTTAATTAATCGCAAATGTATTTGTTTTCGCTTTTCACGCTTCAGCTGGATGTGAGAACGGCTGCTCGCGTCATGGCCAATGTACACTGGAAAATGGCGAATATCGCTGCGACTGCATTGAAGGATGGGCCGGATCTGATTGCTCGATTGCGCTGGAAATGAACTGCAAGGACAACATTGATAACGACGGCGGTGAGTGTAGCACACTTTTGAGTCAATTCAAGTGTCTTTATTTTTGCTGGAAGATATATCAGTTCTTAAGAGAACTTTTGGATGTATTTCCTGCTGACCTTATCCCTTTGAGCTACCAGCCAATTCTTACTTTTGCTTAGTCATCTAAAATTAAGCAAATAAAAATTATCCAGCAGCACCTTTCAGTCCAAATGATAAAACATCAATTACTCCCTAACTTTCCAATTGGTCACGATTTCAAACCTGCTCGGCTGATACGCATATATGTATATGTGTATGTACCCTGCAAAAAGTGGGACTAGGTTAAGTACTAGTACAGGACCACACTACCTTGTAACCAACACTAGTAACCAAAATGGTCCAAATATATGGAGAAAATATGGTTACATTAACATTGCGATGTCATTGGACCTGACCACCTCTGGTCCGACGCTGCATAACATGGGACCACTTTTGGTCCACCACTGCGTAACATGGGACCACCTAGACAACTACTCCTTTTGAACCATGGCACATTCGGCAACCGAATCATATTGCCGATCGGCCACGAAGAGGAGGTGTTCAACACATATATCAGTTTTTTACGTTTGAAGTGGTCCAGGTCAGCTTAACAAGTTACTAGTATGCAACCTGGTCCTTGTGCTCATACTTTAAAACTACGACCCAGTGGACCACCTGGTCCTCAAATTTTTGCAGGGTATGTATTTATTTGTTTGAATGTATGTTTGAATAAATATAAGCATACAATCATTTCACTGGTTGCACTCGGGTGAATGAAAAGAATTTTCACCTTTATAAATACTTACGATAATAAGTGAAAAGTTTCCAGAGGAACGCGTAGGCGAACGCTTACGCAGCCATACTCAGAGTATAAGACACCAACTTATGTACCAACTATGAATATGAAGCATAAGATGAATATAAACAAAACATACATACAAACAAAGTGCATAAATATTAGTAAATACACGGGATCACAAATTTTAGCTTGGTTTTTGTTATCCAATTTCTATGTAGAATTGCTCGGTGATTCCGAAAATCGGGTTAATTTATTTTTCTATGGTTACGTTACGAGATATTTGTAATTTACCGTTATTCAGCTTAAGGCAAAAACTGGTTCCTTTTAATCACGTATATCTTACGAACCAATTTAAAAATCTTAATGTAAAATACGGCAAATGAAAGCTAATGAAATTCTCCATAAACCGTGTATACATCACTTTCCGATAGGGCTTATAGTTTCTGACAAATTAATTAATCATTCCAGTTTTTTTATTTTTTAATGAAAAACTGAAAAAAAATCAAACTTTAACAGAAACAAGTAAAGAAGTATAAGTTCGGGCGAAATCGAATTTTATATACCCGGCGCAGGTAGCAAATAACATCGTTTCAACTTTCTCTGAACTACGTTTGCATGATAAGTAGGAGTCTTTACCCAACTTAAAACGTTCTCGATAATATAAAGAGTTAGACTTAGTGATATAATTGAACCTAGTTAGGTACAAATCGATTAAGTGGTTACCGAGGTACACCTTTGTAGTTATAAAGTGGGCGGTGCTATGCCCAATTCCTAAAAGTCTGTAGCAGTCTGATTTATTGTTAGGAGATTGTTGTAACTATTAACTTGAAGTAAATTAACGTCCTCAGTTATTGAAATATCGGAGTTTTCTTATTTCTGAAATTTATCGTTATACGGGAAGCGGGTGTACCTTTAGTCCGATTTGAATAATTTTCAACAAATTGCTTTTCCGTACGACGGTTATTAAGTGCGCAGAGTTTGGTGGAATTTGATAAATCGGTTACCAATCGTTACAACAAAACTTTCTGTATGTATTGTATACTACTCGTTTATTTAGAGGACATTTAACACCGTGCGGCAAAAACCAGAAAATTTTAAAACACACGAAGTAATCAATATACTCACAAAACTAGGGATCAAATATAAATCTGTGTTTTTATTCTTTCTCTCTGACGTTAGGCTTTTTTGTTGTTTTTTTTTTTAAAGACTTTGAAATTTCAGAGATACACATCGCTTGCTTAAAGTGAAAAGTTGCCGAGTTTACTTCTATAGATAGAGAAATGTAAAATTCATTGGCTGCGTTTCTTTATACATTCCGGATAATCCCATTTCACAGCCGGAATAAACAGAATGCGTTTGAAATATACGTCAACATATCATCAGGAACGTTCTAAAGAATAAATAAACAAAAACGTTCAGAATGAATAAAGAAATGCAGCCATTGTTTCGAAAAAAGAAGCACCGAGAATACAGCAAAGCCAAAATAGTACGAAATGTTGTATTCAAAGTTTTGCGAAGTACTTGAAGAAAATGGCTATAAAAAGTCTTTTTCTCTCCTGTAAAATTTGTGAAATGGGACTTAGCAACTTTTCGCTCTAAGCTAGCGATATGTGCATTCCAAAAAAGTATTAAAAAAAAAAATTAGTGAAATACAGAGTAATGATATGACTACCAAATGAAAGAGAAAATTTTTTTAGAAATGCAATTTTTTCGTTCACAAGGACGAAGATATTTTGAAAATGCCTTTTACTAAATTTTATATCCTCAACTAACAAATTTAGAAGGAAGAAATTCGAGGATATGGACGTTTCCATAAGGCATAATTTTATTTTTCAAAAATAATGAATGGGCGCTTGGTGGTGCCAGGGTCGAGATATTTAAAAAAGTCGATTTGTTTCATATTTGGCACATTTAATTGAAACATAGTGAGACATAGATTTGTAAAAAAATAGAACCGCTAGGTGGCGCTGAAGTGAAAATAAAAAAATATATTCGACATAAAATTCAGGTTTTGTTTGCATTAAAAATTCCTTTAAAAACAATATTAACAAACAAATTTTCAATACAGTTTTTAGTAGCGTCATGCTCATAATAAAAACAGGAAAGATGTTTACATTTAAAGCCTCGTTAATAAACCTTAGATACTTTAAAAATTACAAAAAAATGTCTTGCCCTATTCATAGAAATTTGTAACTTTGTAACTCAAGTCCAAATCCATTGTTTTTTTTTTAACGTCACACCAGCGCATTGCTATCAATTGTTTTCATTTTTTACAGAATTAAAGACTATTTAATTTCTCTGTATAGAAATATAGCAAACCTTTTTAAAATGTTGACTTTTTCATTAGATTTTTTTTATTTTTATTTTGTCATACAAATGTCACGTCACGTCAGACTGGAAATGTCTATATCCGTTTATTTGGAGCAGGAAAAATTTCATTAAGAAATTAATACTTATTCGTTATTAGATCTGTGTAGGTAAATTAAATTGAAAATCATTGCCGTCTTGGTTTCTGCAATCGAAAAAACTATTTCATCATCATGGGGCATGCCGATATTTTAAAATATGTTAGGTATACCCCTATCCTCCAGAAAAGAAAATACGCTGTTTGATCTTCGCCTCAATTTCTTACTTTTTCTGGAATCAGTTCGGTTTGAAAATAGTCCATTCCCCATAATGCTCCGGTAATGGTATGCTGAACGATGAGTTCAGAAAATACCTTCGGTCGAATATCTTATAACAGACATGCTTTCCAACAGTCATGGAGGAGTCTGCTTGTATGCGTGCGCTCAACTTCCTCTACTTTATTTGCGTATTTACGTATTCAATCAAGCTGTCTTTTTTAGCAGTACTGTGAAACATATGTATGTGTGCACTTCCACACTAATCCAATTCACGGAAACATATCCGAAACCCCCACCCTCGCTGCAAACGAGTATCTACCAGCAACTCAAATCACCGATTCAGCGACAATTTGCAGCAGGAAGAGGATCTCCTTTTACATGCATACAAATGTACATAAATAATTCGCCACAAATCTACGTACGTATGCACTTAAATATGTACGCTGTATTTATTTTTCATCGGTCGTCAATGCAGTTTGATTATAAACAATTCGTTTAGTTGGACAACAACAGCAAAGGCAACCAAAGCAGCAACAAAAATGCCTGCTTTATACAGCAATCCACAAATGTAAAAGGAATGGAATAATAAAAAGAAATGCGAACGGAAGGAAGGAAGTAAGCCTGAAGTGTCATAAAACATTACGAGTTCTACCTGTGAATGCGACCGAGACATGAATGATGCAGAGGACCTAGCGACGGGCCGCCTGTGGGTTGAAGCAGACGGGGAAGAGGAAATAAACGGATATTGAAATCAACTTAAAAGCGTATAGCCACTTAGCACTCACATTTTGTTGGTGCTTTTATGCCTTTACTGTCGCCATTGTCGCAGCGCGAATGAATGAATGGATGTACGGGGTAGAGGGCTAAGGCAAACTGAACGCAATCTGGGAAACAGCNCAAAGGCAACCAAAGCAGCAACAAAAATGCCTGCTTTATACAGCAATCCATGTAAAATGTAAAAGGAATGGAATAATAAAAAATGCGAACGGAAGGAAGGAAGTAAGCCTGAAGTGTCATAAAACATTACGAGTTCTACCTGTGAATGCGACCGAGACATGAATGATACAGAGGAGCGAGCGACGGCTCGCCTGTGGGTTGAAGCAGACGGGGAAGAGGAAATAAACGGATATTGAAATCAACTTAAAAGCGTATAGCCACTTAGCATTCACATTTTGTTGGTGCTTTTATGCCTTTACTGTCGCCATTGTCGCAGCGCGAATGAATGGATGGATGTACGGGGCAGAGGGCAAAGGCAAACTGAACGCAATCTGGGAAACAGGAAAACAAGAAAACAACAGAAGCAGCTCGAGCGTCACTTGAAAATGTTTCAATATTTGCAGCACTACAAATCCTGGAGTGCGCACTCCAGCTGAGGAAAGGAATCGAGAAGAAAGCCCAAGACATTTGCAAGGATCAAAGAAAGTGCGCCAGCCGGTAGCCATGTGTGTGTGTGTGTGTGCGGCAAAGCAAAGGCAATATGTATGTTGAAGATCTGAGAAACAATAATGGGACGTGGATATGAATATATTTGTAGTGGCGCCTGCTTCATTATCCGCCACACACGCGGGCAAAGTGCGTTGAAATGTGTTAAGAAGAGTTAAATTTCAATTTCCCTTCGCGACGACTGGTTGGCGAATTAAGCGCCAGTTCAAATCAGAGGAGGTGCGGAAGCCTGTTTTTATTTATGCTAATTTGAAATTTTATCAGCACAGATGTGAAGTGCGTTGGTGCGTTGCTATGCGTCCAAACACACGGCTCATTAGTCCCGTTTTATGCGTTCCCCTCTCGCGTTCCGACCACCTTCTACGACCATCAGCAAGCCAACCCGAACCGTATCGGCCTCAGTTACAAGTGTCAATTAAGTTGATTGATCGGCATTTCCTTTTTGTTCGTTACACTCACCCTCCCCCATAACCGCTTTTCAGCCGTTACTCTTACTCATTGCTGTCGTCTTTTCTCTTTTCAGACGGAATGACGGATTGTTCGGACAGCGAGTGCTGCTCGCACCCCGCCTGCGCGGAGCATATCATGTGCCTGTCTTCCAACGACCCTGTGGAGGTGCTGCTGCGCAAGCAGCCACCCTCCGTGACCGCATCCTTCTATCAGCGCGTCAAATTTCTGATTGAGGAGAACTCGGTGCAGTCGTACGCACACATGGACGAATACAGTGAAAAGTGAGTACTACCGTTCACACATACACCCACACCCCAACACCCCACTATGTTAGCTAGGCTCTAGTTGGACTTTTTCTCGCTTAGCTCTTAAGAACTTTGTAGACAGGAAATGCATTAAAAAAATATTTACTTAGTTTCATCTACATAAAATTCTCTCTATAAAAAATCATTACCATACGACCTAGCTCACATTTGCACCCCAAACTCTTTAACGCGAGCAGGAGTTTAGAGTCAATCTAAGTTTCGAATATTAAACATTTGCTAACAAAAAAAAAAAGAAAAATTAAATAGTAAAATAATTGTGGTGCAATGAAGAGAAAAAGCTCAAATCATATCGATTTCAATTCAGTACGTGTCATACTCGTATTAATGTATTCATTTACTTTTTGTTATGTTTATGATTGAATTTCGATTTCCATTATGTGCAGTAGCCCAAAATTTATGCTTTGGAAGGGTTATTTCGCAAACATTTTTGTGTTCATTTTAAAACACATTTATTGAAAAAATAAAAATATTCAAACCCCGAGCTCACATTCCTTAAATCCTCCACCAACTCCCCTCAATGAGTCTATCATTTTATGCGTTGGAAAGACGAAAAATAAATAAAAAATATTTTTCATTCAGAAAATGGTTTTCTGTTTTTTTTTATGCTAAAAGAAATGTTTTTATAAATACATCTTTCTTTTTTGCTAGATTTTTTTTTGTTTTATTTTAGTTTTTAATTAAATTAAATTTATTATGAAAATTGGTTTTTCTTATTTCATATTTTCTTTTTTAAATACCAAAACGCTAGTTACTTCAAAAACATATATTAAACCAGCCAAAGTAAATGTAAGCTTTTGTTTGAGCTTTTTCTTTTCTTGCCTATTATAGGGTTACCAACTTCAAACACAGATAATTTATTTCAAATTTAATTTTCTTGTATTCTTTTCATTTCGTTATCTCAATTCGCAATTTCATTTCGTTTATTTCCTTACCATTCTACTTGTTTAATTTTGTTTGCTTTCTTTTATTTGTTTATTTGTCAAAGAAACATCCAAAGCGAAATAATGATAGCACTTCATTGAGTTTGTGTGTTGTCTAGTGTTTTACCCCTTGTGTTCGTCTCACCCCGTTAAACGTCTCAAGAAACATAATCATATAACGAAACAAAAACAAAACAAAAAAAAATTATAAAAAAGAGTAAAGATGAGAAAAGAATTCTAACCACGGCACATTGAACAGGTGATGCCACCAGCGCAAGAACAACAGTCTGCGGGCATTTTTTCATTTGCTGAATTCAGACTATAGAATGTCAAAATTGGTAAATAAGCAAAATTTGGCATTCCGGAATAAAATATAAAATATTATAAAACAAAATTGATCAGCTACTCTACTGCTGTTTTCTGTTCAATATGCCTTGGTGTTTTGGTGTTAACATTTGATGTGCGTAAGTCACTCGCGCACAGAGTTGAGAAGAGATTTGTTGCATATTTTTAAGATAGCAACGACTGGCTTACAAAGGGCCGAAACAAGTTTAACTCGGCAAAATCCGTACAGTTATATGCAAGAAAACTCACATATGTGTATGTACCTTCAATATATTGTAATCACACACAGCTGTCACGGCTTAGCTCAATTATTCTGAAAAGGATTTGTGTAAATTTCTAATGTTTTTTGTATTTTCGTATTTAAAATTTATTTCATTGTTTAAGGACTTTAATTTCACTATTTCGTTACTATAATAAATTTAAATGCTCTGAGACATTGCTACAAACCTGATGTAATTTCGTCCTTTTCAAGGTTTTCCACTAAGTTCCATTTACATACATATGTATGCAAGATACAAATATCATGCTGAATTATTTCTTTGAAAATTGTCTATCCATAATTATGGTCAAGGCTATACTTTAAATGTAGAACGATGCAATCAATGTTTAGACTTTTAGTTAAGGAGGGATTGGTAGAGAATAAATAGCTTTGAGAGCAATGCGACTTGGTGATTCCAAGTGTTTCTTTAAGACATATGTATTGTCATGGCTCCACAGACCATGCGGTGCAGCTTTCCCAAAACGATGTCGGGGCTCTTTTGTTAGACTTTTAGGTTAGATAGGTCTCTCTGATATAAATGGGCCACTTTTTCTATGGTTTTCATTAACAACTAAGGTTATTTGCGTACCTTGTGAAGATAATCTAAGTTTTCTCCGCGTTGGGTCTAAATACGACTCGAATATCTTTCTTGATGAAGGTTTTCAATTAACCCGAGTCCACAAGCACCAAAATTTTAAATTGCCTGTCGCCAACAACAATGTTTACTGCTAAATAGTCCTCTCTAGTCCTTTTGTTTGCGCACATTGGTCAAATCATCCAATCTAAGGGTATTCTGTAGGCGTTGCGCACCAGACAGGAAAAATATAACCATACATTATCTTCGCCCCGTAGGCGTCTTAGCTCTTTTGAGCAATTAGGGCTGATTTAAATATGGATTTACGAAGCTTACTAAGGTTATTTTTGCACCATAAAAGCTACATCAAATAAATTTGGATCGTTTCGACTCATTCACAACCAGCTCTTGATAGCTCTATGCGAAATTTGATCTATTACACAGGCCAACAAAAATGAAAAAAAAAGTATGCGGCAAATATTAATTCTGTTTTTGACAGACTTTCCATCAGATCCAGATTTTGAGAACAAACGATGATAGATCCATCCAGTTAGGCTTAAATTAAAGCTAGAACTCGCGACTACTATCCATGAAAATACCATCCCTGCATATTGACCTGATGGTCACTTATAGTCACTTATTTAAAAGCGAAAACTCATCAAAGTACAGGGATGTCAGTTTCTGGGATAGTCAGAAGTTCGGGCTTTAATTTAAGCCTAAGTGGAAGGTTCTATCACCTTTTGTTTCTTTGCTTTCAATCGCAATTTTTCGACAATTTGACCACGTTTTTCTCAAAATCTGGAGCTGATGGAAACTTTATCCTTACGAATTCGTAATCAGCTCAAAAAAGTCTATCAAAAACAGCTTTAACATTTGCCGCATCAAAATCAGTGTTGCCCTCTGCATTTTCCTGGCTGGTCCAATATGTTCAATGTGCCAATTCGAAAAAGGTTTGAAAGGATCAATTTCATAAGCAAATAAGCTTCTCAATTTGTGTATATGTATGTATAGTCAGAGCACGCTGAAGGCAATCTCAGTTTACTTTTAATTTGCTTTCCTTTTATTTCTTTTTTGGCTTTGTTTTTGATGCGATATTACCAGTTGGCAGACAAATCGCGCGGTTTCCGCTATTTTTTCCTTTAATTTTTGTCTAAATTAAAAAACAGAATTGCGAATCTTGCATTGCTTCAAGCTAAAGCTGATTGAATGGCAGGCGGCGGCGGCGGTGACGGCAGAGCATTTATTCTGCTACGCCTCTCGAAAGAGTGTACTTTTTTGTTGTTGTTATTTATTTATGTTTCGTTTTCATCTAATCCGAATATAAATGTAACACATGCATACATATATATTTACCTGTAAGCTAAATAAGTATTTAAGTACGATCGTAAATAACGCGGATAGTATTGTTTTTTGTTTTTTTTTTTTCAAAAGAACAAATAAAGTAAAATATATCGCACTCTTTAAGCCAGCGATTAGTTTTCAACAAATCATAAAAAAAACCATATCTATTGTTGAGCTGCCAGCGTAAGTGTCGACAAATCAAACACACAAAATAAAAGACACAGTTATTTTGGATTTTCGTTTTAACAGCTTTGAAATGTAACTAAAACATATTTCTGTTATCGATTTTGCTTTCACATTTACCAGCCCCGATAAATTCACATTGCTGTTTTTCCTTTTCATTTTTATTTTCATTTTTGTTTTTCAAATTTCGTTCGATTTCATTCTTTCAATGTGCGTGTCCAAGTTTTGAGTTCTTCAATTTGCGTTCAATGTTGATTTCTAAGCGAATACTTGGTATTTAAGAATGAGATATTTCCCCACTAAAACTATTAACCAAATACTAACCAATAAATAATAAGCTGAGCATTGAGAAATCCTGCCCTGATTGACAAGTGTGCTTGCGGCATCCTAGGGCCAAAGGAACTACCGACCGCCGATTGAGAAGTCATTGTGTGCCAGTGCGACAGTCCGTAATAGTCCTTATATGTAATTGTCGAATGTAATTTTTCGGTTTGATTTTTGTTGAAGTTCTTTGTTATGGAAAGTTTTCCGTTTCATTTCGTTTGTGTTGGTTTGCTTGCAAATATTTAAGTTTTTGAAAGTTTTTGTTGGTGATGAGTGCATCGGCACTACACTTGGCTTTCGCCAGCAGACTATGCAGGGAATGCATAATAGCTCTACAATAATATTAAAATATTAACAAAAAAAAAAATAAAAGAAAAAAAATCTTAAAAGCCAAAAAAATTAAGTTCTAAATACATCTCTATTTTATCTATTTATCTCTTTTTACTTTCAATTTTTGTCCTATCTTTTTTATTGTATACATGTCTGTGTACCCTTTGTCGCTTTACGGCTGCTTGGCACAAATGCAATACCGTATATTTTAAAATCCAAAAAAACAAAAAAATAATTTAAACCAAAACATTTACAAAACCACCAATGATGTGTGAACGCAATAATTGAAATAAAACCACCCTCAACGAAATATTGAATGAATAACCAACAAATACATATACATACTTCAAATGTGATTTATGAAAATTCGTGCGAAAAGTCTCTTCTGGAGTTCATTCACGCCTTGGTAAGTTGACAATTGCGAATCTCAGAGAAATCGATAACTCGATCAGGACTCATATCGGGCAATTGAAACCCGACAAAATAAGAACAGAAAACACATATTTCATTTTATAGTTTCTTTCGTCAATGTGTTTCGTTTTCCGATGTATCTCGAAATCAGAACGAGCAAAAACGAGCAGAGGACTTTGCCACTAAATCACAAAAATTCGATTTTACTGCAATACAAAAATACATTTGTACATAAATACAAAGTTATATACATATCTATACATGTATTGATACTATGGAACGAAGATCAGAGATGGGAGCAAACTTTTTAATTTTTCTTTGATTTCTCTCTTGAGTTCTCCAAAAAAAAACAAAAACACACCAAAAACACCAAAAAGCAAACGAAACACAAAAACGAAAACACAAAAATGCTGCCAACAGCAACTTGTAAATAAAAACTTTTAATTCTCTATGTGTGTGTGTGTTATTCGCGGACGAATGCCTTCACTCTTAGACGTAAATTAAATATGCAACTATGCAAATAAATAAATTCGATTTGCCGTTAACTCACAATAACTCTTATGACTGTTATGATTATTATATAGTATTATCCATTATTTATTATCTAACTATCGTATTATTGCTATCGAATAGAGTTGTTTGTTGTACTCGTATGTGTACGTGTCTATGTGTATTCTGTTGATTAAATTCCAAGTGTGCCTTGATTTTTCCTTCAGTACGTTTTTGTTGTATATTTGTTTTTTTGTTTTTTTTTTATCATTTTCGTTTGATGATCACTAATCACTAACATCGATTAACCACATTTTTCCAATCAGTCGTAATTTTTTGGCGGCACAAAGTGATCGAGAGTGCAGACTGGGGCGAAGCCTTGCGCTGCTCCTCGGCCGTTTTGCGCTCGCCTAATGTTGTTCTACTTTCTTATGTACTAACATTTCATTTTTATGTAATCATTCACTCGATATGCAGCAAACTATTAACTACGCCTGATATGTACATATTTTTAAATTACAACAACAAAAAAGTTCACGAAAATTCAATTTCAACTCACGTCGTCCAACTCGATGATTATTTTCAATTTTATGTTATGTAATTAAAATCCGTATCTTTTTTGTATAAAAGTAGAAACTTACAATATTCTTTAAAGTAAAAGGCTCTTTCTTTAAACCGAAAATTTCGATTTTATTATTCACACAAATAAATTTATAAATTTTACACTTTGACTTCAGTTTTGTGCTTTTTATCGAATAACCAAAACAAAATACCCTTAAAGTTATTTGTTTTTTTTTGTTGGTTTTTCTTCAGGGTACATTTTTTACAGCAAAGTGACCGTACAACAATACTATATTTATATATATATATACATATATATTTCTATTTATATCTATCAAATATTTAATAACTAATTAAAAAGAAAAGTTTGAAAAACAATACAAAACAGGAAAAGCAAAATACTTTTGTTCTAAAATGCCATACAACAGAGAAATGGAAAATGTGATACCAAATGAACCCAAAGCCCTTATATGTATTTGCCACAGCCCAAACCCCAAACGAGTTTCCCTACAATTAAAAAAAAAAATAATAATAATTCATAGAAATACTTGAAGTTAAAGCATCAAAACAAAAGTAAAAAAGTAAAATCAAAAGACAGGATGTTAAAGTTAACAAACATTGAAAAAAAAAGTTACCAAGAAACCCTTCACTTCTTCCTCTTGTCTGCGTCTAAAAACCATTTGTTGATCACCACTATCCCCACACGTACACACACACACACTCGTACACCTTGTAGCCCTCAACCAGATCCAACATCCCCACATTCATAGAAGCGTAGTCGCTTCCGTTTACAATACAATACACAAACAAAAGAATAAATGAAAAATTCTAAACTAAAAAACTTTTACAAATTATCATTTTCAAAAATATTTGTTGCTTTATTTTTTTTATTACTTAAAACATTTTATTTTTGAGCATTTGATGGCCTTAGAAAAACACGGATCGCATTTTAAGTTATTTAAAAGGAAATCCTACGATAAGTTTCATGTCGCCGCGGGCCTTGGTAAAGTGTTCTAGGATCTGGAAGCAAAATCAGTAGTAAAAATGCTACGTTTGTATGTACATACCACTATGTGTGCCCCATTTTTCTAAATGTAAAAGACAATTATTTATTCCTAAATAAAATAATTGAGGCCGGGACACCTTAAAGTCAATGGATGACTGAACTGCGCAAACCCACTCAAAGCGTCCATTAACTAACAACAATCTCCAGAAATACATACATACTTCTGAAGCAGTGTAAAAAATATATCTTAGCAAGAAGAAGAATAATTTAATTACAAAAGATCTAGTTTTGAAAAAATTTCTTCAAGGGCTATGTGAGACTATGTAAGTGCCTATGTTGCTTAAACTTTGTAAACACTAGCCCTGATTTGCTCCTATTCGAGTATGAAATTGACCCTAAATTTTAGAGGAACTATTTTGATATTTATCAAACATTCTCACCACCCTATCTCCTGTATTTGGCATCATAAAATGTTGAAAATGCCATTTTTCAAACATATTTTGTTTTTTTTTTGGTTTCAAGTAAATAAATGAAATATATGTATGTACAAATGTAAAACATAATAAAAGCATATTCAGATATGCTTCGTTTTGAATTACCGGAGTTTTTATATTCAAGATAGATGGCAACCCTATTTACTGAAATATTTCCCAATGATTTTTAACTGATTCTTATATTTTACTTAAGAACATATAAAAGTACTGGGTCACAAATTATGTATATTTAAATGATTTTATTTTTTGACCTTTGCCCCTGACTGATATTGTATAGATATAGCACATTCATATGTTGTTCATCTTCGCGGCTTCCAGCAAACCAGTGAGTGGGCCTTACCATTCTCTCACAAAATGCAGAGTACTCGATTTCCTGTGTTCATTTCCCAGTCTAGGATGGGTGTTGGCATCATCCCAAATAATCTTCGGTCGTCGAGGGCAGTTCGTGCTCTTATTACATTTCTACACAATTGTGTCTACAGTTACTACCTGACCCATTCCTTTTGGGTCGTACAAGAATATTGTTCAAAACCCAAAGTTAAGAGACCACGAAGTGTAAAATTATATTGTATAACAGCACACAGCCTACTTGAAGTAAAATGCGAAATGAAATTAAATTACTTAAAATGAGTAAAATTCGGATTGGAGTTAGAATTTTATATCCGCTCAAATATTTAAAAAAATTATGACCTAGCCAATTGAGTTTTACTAGTGCAGTACCGCCCGTTTTAGTTAATTTCGATATTTACAAACTAAATGGAGCTCGCTTTCGCTCAAAACGATTGAATGGAGGATAAATTAACCGGGCCATACTGTACGCATGAACTTATACTCAAGCAATTTCTATCCACAATTAAGGCAAATCTCAGCCTAGTGCTGATAATTTTGTGTCACCTTTTTGGTCAAAATATTAATTCACAAATTTGCTGCGCTAACACTCGCCGCCTAGAACGGGTAGACGCAATGAAATTTATTTTCCGATTTCAATATAAACGAATTGCCAAATAAAGCTTTCGCTAACTGGAAAGTCACTAATCTCTGCGCGAAATAAAACAAAAAAATGCAAATTCTCCAACACCATATACATACATACATAATAAATTGCCTGCACTTTGCAGCTTAGCGGCGGAAAAAGCATTTGAAAGCCATTTAGACAATGAAAAAGTTTATGTACATTTTTATGCGGCGTAAAAACGCCAAATCATCACTATAAAAGTGCATAATTCCGGCACTTGGAGCACTCACAAGTGTTAAAAAATGCGGCATGCGGCATGCGGCATGCGGCACTCACTCGTCAGCTAGCAGAGTGGTGGCGTACAAGTTGCCACCAACGGCGCGGCCCTCGCCAGCTCGAGCGCGAAAAGCAGCGCGAAAATCGCATTTGTTACGAAATATGCTCGCCGAAGCGCCAACAAACAGCCGTTTGGCGGGCGGACGCGCATCGGATTAGCCTAGGGTGGCAGCCGGTTCTCATTACCTCTCGAATGGGTGGGTGGCGCTGCCGGTGGATAAACATGCCAGTAAACAAAATGTCGATGTGGAAGCGTCCAGAGGCAGGAGCAGCTGGCTCAGCAATCGATGTGTGTGTGTGTGTGTGCGTGTGTGTGTGTAGGTGTGTGTGCTATACTTGGTCGACATTGTTATTTGTTTGCAGTCGAATAAAAATAAAATGAAAATGCTAATGCAAGTAAAAAAAAAAAACAAAATGGAATACCAACAACAACTCACACGAGCGCCGCACAAATGAAAATTGAAATGGAAATGTAAATAGAAATAGAAATAGAAATAGCAATAAAAGTATGCGCACACACGCACACGAAATTTAAATAATTGCAAAGTAGATTAAAAGCGAATCAAGTGGCTTTCGAGTGAGTGAGTTAGTGAGCTAGCGGCGAGCGAGCCCTCGTCCATTTACTCCCTCATATTTTTGTATATATGTATATACATATGTATATGTATATGTATGGGTAGTTTTGTAAAACCGCTTCCGTCGCGTTCGCGTTCCACCGGCGGGCGCAAAACAAAGGTACACCCACACACACACACACACAAAATACGATCTGAAAAACTGCAGTGGATTCGTATGTGCGCGGATGTATGTGTGCACACACACAAACATGTCGTCGATTAGATTTCGCTTTAGCCGATGGCATTTGCCACAAACAGTCGCAATAACAAATTCACACACACACACACACACACGCACACAAACACTGACACTAAAGTGGCATTAGTTGGCTCCGCGCATCGCTTGCATGCGGCGTGTGTAGGCGGGCAGTGGTCTTTGCAGCAGCACTGAAGCTATGAATGCAAATAAAATAGTGCAATTTATTTGCTATCGCAAGCAACTGACACAATAAAATGCTATTTTTCCCACATTCTCATGTCCTCATATGTATGTACATATGTATGTACGACAGCTGCATTGTTGTTGCTAAAATTTTTTTGTGTTTCTGGTTACACTGGGCGCTGCTGCAGTGGTGCCACTTCGGTTTCTGGAGTTTCGGTGAATGCATTGTACTGCCGAGCATGGCACATTTCATGCCACAACTGTGCGCTCCTCCTCCTTTGGTTTGGAAAAGGGAGCAAAAAAAAAAGCGACATGGAAAAAAAGTTCAGTTGTACAGACAAAAACACAGTTATTATTACGGTTTTCGCCGCCACCATGATAACCAACACATATGTATGAATCGCCGTGGTGTATGTTCCCTGCAGACAAATTTAGAGAGCGTCTGGCAAAGCGCTAGTTCCGCCCTATAAATTTC